AATAGCCAAGCATGCGATTACCATTACTAATAACGTATCCAATATGTATTTTCCAGGAAAGATCCGATGTTATGTGTGCGCCCAGGTACTTGTAAGACGATACAGAAAGTAAAGGAACATTGTTAAGACAGTAGCAGGGAGAAACTGAATGATTACGAGACACTCTCATTACTTTGCACTTAGTTGTGTTAAGCTCCGTATGCCAAGTTTCACACCGATGAAGAATAACCTTAATGTCTGTCTGGAGATTGATAAAATCGGAATCATTATTAATTTCACGGTGAATGAAACAATCACCTGCAAAAAGGTTGATTGAGGAAGAAATCTTATTCGGCAGGTCATTAATAAAGATTAAAAACAGAAGTGGGCCTAGTACAGAACCCTGAGGCATGCCGGAGGACACTGACGCGAGCGGAGATGTATAGCTATTGCCGGTAACAGACTGGAATCGGTTAGTAAGAAAGCACTGGATCCAAGCCATAACGTTAGCATCAGTGCGAAGGTTATTTACTTTCAACAAAAGCAACTCGGTGTGAGACTTTATCGAACGCCTTCGAGAAATATAAAAATACGCAGTCTATCTGGGACCCTTTATCAGAACAGAGTGCAAGTCGTTAATAAATATTAAATTTGGGTCACGCAGGAAAATGATTGTTGGAATCCATGTTGAGCCCTGGTGAAAAACATGTTAGACTTCAAAATATTAACTAGGTCAGAATAAATGTAGTATGCTAGTGAGTGAAGCATAGTATGCTAGTGAGTGAAATTGATCTAGAGTTGTTAGGGGAATGTTTATCACCTCCTTTGTGCAACAGAACCACCTTTCCAAGTTTCGGATCGTCTGAGAGGACACCGACATATAGCGACTGGGTGAATATTTTTGACAGTATAATGAAAGAATATACACTTGTGTTTTTTAAAACAATTTGAGTTAATATTATCGAGACCAGCACTGGATAATATTTTAAGGTTATCGATTATTCGAACAATGCCAATGGGATTAATTTTGAAATGTTACATAGACATGAAGTTGCACTGAGGTAATGAACAAAGTGACATGTTACTTACACTGGCAAAAAATTTAACAAAAGCCCCGTTTAAAAGTTCAGCAGTCTTCACTAGGTATAACACAATCGTCCACCCTGATTGAGAATTCGTTCGAATTATTATCACCAATAATATTTCAAAACTTCTTAGGATTAGTAGACAACATATTCGGCAAAGTCTTATCAAAACACACAAGCATAGCATCCTGAATAGCAGATTTGTAAGCCTCATCTGCGTTCTGGTAACCCTCACAACGTTTCGAGCAGCCTATGGCATTTGCAAAGCGAAACAATCTTTTTTTTTTTTTTTTTTTAGAAAGCTTTTTTAGTGTAACAATAAACCAGGGTGAATGATTGTGTGATATTATCGAAGGGAAAGGAATGAATTTATCTGTGAGCAGCGCCACTTGACTCTCAAACAATGTCCACTTTTCCTGAATGGTGCGGTCAGAAAGGTTAATGATAAAGACATCTAGAAAAAAAGGCTAAGTGGTTATTGATAGCTTCGAAGTTCCCTTTGCTATAGTCGCGAATGGCTTTAGTTACTTTAGAGGATTTGTGCTTAGGAATCGTTAGAGATATGTATAACGAACTATGATCACTGAGGCCTGGTAACTGAGATACTAAAGAAACAAGATTCGGCGCACTAGTTAAAACAAGATCAGGGATATTGGCTGACATAGCTGCAAGTCGTGTGGGTTCAGTGACGAGTTGCAAACGATTGAAATCAACGCACAACCTTAAAAAATTGGAACACATAGAGGAATGACAACTAAGAAAAGGGCACGTATCCGACCAATCAATATTCGGATAATTAAAATGCCCTTCCACTAAGTGGAAGAGCAATTTTGGTAGGTAAATGATCACTACCCATGGGATCTAGTAGCACACACCAGCTCGCTTTAAATTGTCTGGAGGTCCACGTGAGGTCGGGCGTAGTGTCCGTTTGATTGCTGGATTGTGCGAGTCTCGTTGTGATACATTTTTCGTGCGGAGAACTAGCCTCTTTCTTCACGCTTAATGGCTTTGCCTCTGTTGTCTTTGGAGTTGTAGCCCCATTCTGTGTGCTTAGCGTTGAAATCTCCTGTTAGTATAGTGGGGGTCTGGTGTTTATAAGTATTCGTAACCATGCGTTGTCTAGCTCTGTGGCGCCTGGACGAATGTAGTCATTAAAAACATTGACTCCGAGGGCCAAGCACCTAAAGATGTTCGTTGCATTCATTTTTTGGTGTCGATCTGAGTTTCCGGTAGAGATTTTTGAACGAGGGTAACTGTTAGTCCGTAGTTACCATTTTTTTATTGTCGATTATTGGCTAGAGAAAAGCATTGTACCCTCTATTCTTGAGGCTCTTCACGTTCGCCTCCTGGAGGAGGATGACATCGGGAGCCTTGTTTTTTGAGTTTTTCGAGGGTGAGCTTAAGCTTGGAAAGTTTTTGTTGGAGACCCCTGAAATTCCACTAAAGGGCCCATACCTTGGTTATTTTCTTTTTTTGTCGTGGCGGTTTGGGTCTGGATGCCGAGGCGGTACTTGCCATGCTGTTTACTAAGGAGTTCGTAGATGAGGTCGCATAGCTTGTCAGCCTTGCTTTCGAGGGATCGGACTCTTCCTTCAAGCGTGCCAATTCTGCCATAGGTGGCTTGTACTTCCGCGATCCATCCGAAGGGAAAAGACGCGTCCGAGCTAGTGTTGCGCTCTCCGCTCTGATTCAGAAGGTAGTTCCACGCATTGTGCATGGAGCTAGAGGGCATCATGGCTGATGGCAGAGTCGGAAATGTTTAAAGGATCGCAGAAACTCTTGCGACGGTGTTTGTTGCGACGAGGTTTTTGTTGAGCGACCACTCGCGTAGGAGCTGTTGCTCTGCTATTTTTTGAGTGGACGTTTCACTTTCTTGGGTGGGATCGTGGTTTGGGGCAATCATTGCTCGTGGCAACGTGTGCCCCTCCACGGTCGGCACATTTGGGTTGCAGCTTACAGTTCTCGGACGCGTCGTGTTCATGTCCACAACTGCTTCAGCGCTTGATATTTATAAGACAAGGTGACAGTTATAACACACCATGGGCCTAGGTCCGTATGAGGTGACCCTAAAGGCCTCACAGGCGTACCGGACGTAGTTTGGTAGGGACCGGCCCTCAAAGGTAATGAAGACCGTTTTTCCTGACTGGCCGATGATTCTGGCCAAAAGGGTTTCATGGGCTTTGCACTTGAGTTATTTTGTTAGCAAATCACGAGTCTCGTCGTTGTCGTGTCCTCGCAGATAGATGACTCCCTTGATTTGCGAGCTTGAGGTTGGCACGTATGGCTTCATTTCAAGCACTTTTTCTTTGCGGTCGATTTTGCCTGTTGTCATGAGCTTTTCGATAGCCTCACGGTTCTTCGTGGCAATAGCGATGGTGGTGGAACGTTTATTCGTGTGAACTGAGCATTCCTTGTTGCTTACGCCAGTCTTGGTAATAGCGTCGCGAATGTTCTTGCTCGCAATGCTGTAAACGTCTTCGCGACACACGGGCTTAAGGACGACCGTGTGCGTGGGTGTCTGTGACATGGATTTATCGAACCGGTTACGTCGGCGACGTCTGATGTATTGCTTCCACGTGCCACCTTGGTTGTCTTGTTCAATGGAGGCCGCAATACCATTGCAATTGGCGAGATTTTGTGTGCCCTGGCTCGAAGCTTAGGTGCGAGAAGTCAAATGTTGTGACTCGGTGTTGTCGCTGGAGATTTGGTTCATGTAGTTGTAGAACGCGTTTTTGTTCTGCAAGAATATTGCGATGTCTTCTCCGTGTTCTTCAGAAGTGGTGTACTTCTTTTTGTTCAGCTCTATGCGAGCATGTTATTCTTTTCTTTCTTTGAATGCCTGGAGCTCTGCCCAGTTTTCGTCGAAAATAACGCGTCGTACCTTCTTTGAGGCGAAGCTTCCTCTTGCGTTCGGAAATATGGGGTGACGAGCGACATGTTTCTTTTTGCGGGTCGAATCTCCCCCGCGGCTTGAGAGTCCTTTGTATCGGCTGGGAGGACCGGAAGCTCCTCTTCGATGCCGTTAACTTCCAGAGAGAGATGGGGGGTCGGCACCAGGTTTTCTAACGGATCGTCGGGTCCCGGAATCAGGATCTGGCGGTGAGATTGTTAACTGTGAACCTAACCTACCCCCGGGGTCAAAAAACTTCATAAAGCGCCCATTATAGTTCGATCTCCTGCCTAATGGATAACTGTGTTTTTATCGGTAATTTCTAATTAAAACAAATTCCTTATTCCATATCTTCACGACCGAATCTATATGTAACCTGTTTATTAATAAATTATAATACTTCCGCATGCAAAGCTAATTTTCATTATTTATTTAAATTGGGATAGATCCACTGAGCCCACACTACAGATTTGATTATTCACATCTTTAACCAGAAAATTTAATGACTTCTGGACATTAAAATTGGTGTGAAAAAGAAGGTTTGAATAATAATGAATTGTTCAATGTGCGCGAATTTTAATTATGTTTAAACGCCCGCGACAAAAATTAGGCTCACTGTAGCTAGCATCAGAGAACCTACACTAGATCGTCCCGAAGGCGAGAAATGTTTGTCACGAGGCTATCCTACTCATAAGCGGTATCACCAGTTGAATAGTGATTTACATGTTCATCCCCTCTTTTTTATTAGTATTAATATTGGGTTATATCACTGTTTATACCCATCCCCAAAGAAAATTTAACAATATGTGGGGATTCGCCTTCTTCAGAAATAAACCAAACTTGATAATAACGCCATCGGTGTCATCAGCCAAAGACGCGCGCACTGCACGCACGCTGTAGTTTTGTTTCCCCAAGCCCCAAGGCATGAAACTCAGATCATTAAAGAAACACTTATAAGCTATACGTGTTTTACTGCTTATTCAGTTATTTAAGTAGTTAGGATGATTCTTGGGGTAATCTGAAAATATCCTATGTTAATATTTCAGCATACACCTTGGTGATGGTGGGCATGTGTTTAACCTTCCATCAGATAAGCATACAAAAGTGATGGAATTCTTAAGGTACGTAAATTATCATTAAATTTAAAAATTCAGATTTTACAACTTTCGTCCTTTACTGTATACAATGTGGCTAATAGAATAAAATAATGATTGTATGTGTTACGTGGGACATGTTCATGCTCAACCTATACTGAATCACAATCTGTGCTTTCATGGATATACTATGACATGTACGCTAAATCTTACGATAGTCATGAATTTGTCAGTTATGCATAGGATTTGCTTTTTGCTTTAAGCCAAAAAGCACCAATAAAACTGGGCATGTCCTTTTTTAAAGGCGATCGCATTTGTGTGGCAACACGCGAAACATTGAGCTTTTCTGGCGTTTTGAAACATTACGTTTCGAGTGGAATGCATGAAAACGCTTCGACTAGTGCTCTTGGAAAAAAAGAACAAGATTGCGCCCGAGTCTAAACAAAAACGTTTATCATGACGATTTCCTATGAGGATGAGATATCATGGCCCGACTTGGGTTACTCAAATGGGCTACGACTTCTCCAAAATCAGGAAGGGAACAGCGAAGCCGGTAAGCTGACTGCCGTTGAGTCACATCTAAAGAAGCTGTTCATCATACTTAGCACTTCTGTCCAATGCGCCATCGGGGAGACTGTTCAGTATGGCTCATTTTGAGACGCGCGTAGTTCTGGCATTTTAAACAAAATGTGCACGAGTTACGGCCTGTTTGAATTGGAAAGTAATGTCAAAGTATTTTTGTTACTTTTAAAAATCAAGTGTCACGTGATATCATTACTTTTATTTTGTGGTATCTGTGTGTCCTTGTATTGCTTTTTTTGTGCGATATGCCCACTTCTCTAACTGTGTGAGAACACTTTAAAAATGTATATCAAAGCAAATACTTCAGTCAGAGACACTGAATTATTGTTGCCAGAGTTTCGACATTTTATGATTATGCAACGTTTTGATGCAAGGTGCCGACTGCCTTCTGGCTTTCGCATATCGCTGATTGGCTAGCTTTAACTACTGTAAATTCACAGCCACTTGATTAGGGGGCATCATTGAGTGAGTGTGGTGAATGTGGAAAAGGTGTTCTTTGAAACTTAGGGTAATCAAACGACTAAGTGAGAACATGTCAGTCAAGGAAACTGAAAATTGGGTCTGTTTTAATACAGTCATTAACAACTAATTACAAACTAGATTAGTGTCAAATTCTAGGTTCCCCGTAATGCTGAGGCTGTGCACAGCCTATCAATGTCTGCGCCAGTGGCACTTGTCCGGGCGAGTTTCGTCATTCTCATAATGTTCTAAATGTCATTTCGACAAAACGGCGAGCTCATTTTTTTTTGGCTTATCTTGCTCCATTTAGACTATACAAAACTTCCTTTCCTAATAGTTTCGGTTTCATATGGCATTCTCAAACTCTCCATTGCAGCACTGCCCTAAACACCACGATTTGCTATGATGTGAAAACTATTTAGGGTCACAAAACGGCGAGCGAAACAAAGATTTTTTATGGTCTTGGGTTGAAACCAAACAGAGCATATGTTGCCGAAAAATCCGGTAAACGTCTTCCGAAATAGCAACTACAATGCAATGTTTACTGCTCTAGGATTGAACAGGTTTACGGATATGATATATAACAATGTTATCCAGCTACTTTTGAAAGCTGTGGCGGCAGACCATTGGGTAGCAGAAAAGTTCGACGCGCGGGACTACCATCGTGCGCATTACTGAATTAATCAATTCACGAGCGGACATCGGACTGGTCGGACGTCTCCACGCAAGCAATCTAAAAGAACAAAGCCGGACCACGGAAAATACAATTTTAAGTAGCGCGGAAAATCATACATGGAAAAATCTGCGAAGGGACGGGCCTGACTTTGACAGCGAGTCCATTACCTTCCTCGACTTTATTGTTCACACCGACGAGGTGCCGCGGGGAAGAATGTCACCAACATCAGTCCGATTTAACGGTTTCTACTCTTAGCACCACCGCCGACAGAGTTTAGTGGAATTTACACTTCACCTGGCAACAAACCGTTTAACAATGGAATATCATTTTTAACAAACTCATTTGCCGACCTATCGAGATTAGTTCTATCGCAGGAGATCCCTCTTTTCAAACTTCCGGCGCAGAGCTGATGGCGCAGCGCCATATCGCAAATGCCTTATGTTTTTCTTGGGTGATGCCCACGCTGGGGAAAAATCCCTGGATATTCTAATTCATGTGAATACCGCTTTAATGGCGCAGCATAAATATTATGCATTTTCAACTGTGGTGCATGTCCGTGTAACTATGATCGGTTAAAAAATTCACGAATATTAGTTATTATCCGGAAAGAAAAAAACAAAACCGGACAGAACAGTCAATATTGTTTATTACCTGTAAGTCTGACCTTTTGTCAATACACTCAACACAAATTGAGTTATATTAAATAAATCAATATTTTATGCACTTGAATCTAGAACGTGCAAGCATGGACGCGAAGACGGGTCAATACCCATATCTCCAGGTGAACCACACCCTCCACGTAAGTTAACCGTTTTTTTATTACAAAATGGGTGACGAGTCAACTCTTATATGTAACTACATTTTACAGGCGTTTGACCTTAAAAAATATTTTATGCAACATAGAATGAACACATTTCATCCGAATATAACGAAATTATTTTATTTTATTTAGGTATGTCCTATGTTGAAGTTACTATGATCCTTATATGGTTCAGTAAAACACTCTTTGTCTTATATTTTTGTTCTAACCTTCTGGCACATTTCTTCCCCTTTCGACAGCGCAACTCGTTTAACTTTCTAATCAACGACGTTAGAAACGTGGGGACGCAACTGTTTTACAATAAAACAAGGGAGATAAACGACGCGCCGAAATATACCAATTTTAGGAGAGCCAGTCATGGCTTACTATGAAAGCGTGTCCGATCAAACACGGCGTAAAAGACAAAACTAAACGACTCTTCAGTCTTGAGTAAATGTAGTGGCTCTACCTGCACGTATCTTTATTTTTTTTTGCGTCAATTTTTGGTCTGAAAGAGTACACTTTATTTTATAATTGCATCTAAAGGTAAGTCTCGTTACAATCCCATGTCTGTTTAAAATTCTACATAATTAGATTCAACAGTCCGTCGTCAAAAAGGAAAATATATTCTATACTCCTGGAAAACTTTCTCTGGAATTTCCGAAAGAAAAAGTGCACATGCGCAGATTTCATCGCCGCCCGAGCATGCGCTCCCACACCTTTGACTACATATCCACGTAAAAGTTATCCACGAGTATATAGTCCGTGAGAGGTTAAGCCAGAAGCATAGCCTCCTATATACTGACTAAGCCTGGCAGATCTCCACGAGAAGCAGCCACCGAAATGAAAAAGGTGGAGCGGCAGACAGCAGATAAGAGGAGAGTCACATGACTGGCGCCCCGCTGCGGCGAGACGCCGAAACACATCTCTCCCGAGCGAACAAGTGTGTTTCAGTTCCTCGCCGCTGCAGAAGCTGTGTGCTGACGTCCAGGTTCCCCGAGAAATGGCTCTTTGATGCTCTGTGCTACCAGATCCTCGCGCTCTAAGTCTGCGACCGGGCACTCTTAGGCTCCGTCGTCGAACTGCCAGGTTTTGTGAGTATAGAGCAGGCAGACATGTACGCGCTATACCAGAAGTAGCGAGTTACTTTTCACGTTACTTTGGAGACCAAATACACAACTGCTTTTGTTTAATGCTTTATTGTTATATTTTTGGTAGTCCTTGCACTGAAGTAGTAGCTGCCTTTCGAAGTTTTCATCAGTTATGTTTCCCCGCTTTCTTGAAAATACATCTCCGTCGACGCTGAAAAGTCGTTCTACCAACTCCCTCAAAGGAACGGCAGAGTAGTGCTTCAGGAAGAGCTGATAAATCTTCGGGAACTGCGCCTTTATTGAGGACAGCGGGTAATGGGTTCTGTGCCTTCCCGTGTTCGCAACCTCCGGGTTTACATTCGGTCCGCTCCCGGTTCTAGAAGGTTCAACCAGCAAACCTGGGCGAAGGGCATTCCCAGCTGTAGAGTTCAGTACAGCACCGTTTATGGCTGGACACGTCAGTCGAACTGTTCGACTGACGTGTTCAGCGATATACGTTGCTGTACTGTCATTGTGTTTGGTTGTTCTTTGGGTTGCCCACCTACCGTTCTCGCAATAGACGCATACTGAGGCTGAATAAAAAATTAAAGACGTTTACAACCCCCCGTAACGCCGAATTAGGGCGCACCTCTTCAGGAGGAGGAGGGCAGGGTATTGAAGGGAGGGTATAGCCCTCCTCCCTCCTCGTCACCTCCTCATCCTCCCTGCTACTCCTCCTCACCTCCTCCCTCCTCTTCCTCCTCCTCGTCCTCCTCCTCCCCCGCCTCCTTCACCTTCTCCCCTCATCGTTCAAGCTTCTCCCCTCCTCTCTTCTTCCTCCCTCCTCCTTCTCATTCCTCCTCCTCCCCTCTTCCGTCCTCCTCTTTCTCATCCTCCTCCCCCTCCCCTCGTCTTTATTCTTCCCCTCCTTCCTGCCCTTCACCCTCCTCCTCCCCTCCCACTCCTCCTCCTCCCCGCGCGTTGCGTCATGGCAAATGTCCCATAATGCACCGCGCGGTTACGCCGACGCCGACGGCGACGGCGACGCTACGCCGCTCAAGCAGGAAACGGGCGCCTAAGAGCTGCGCTCTAAAAATTAAAGACGTTTTCAACTCTCTGTAACACCGAATGGAGTTCTTCCAAAACCGACGCGCCCCATCGCGGCGAAATAGCACGCAGTGCACTCTGGGAACTAGTTGGCCACTCAGTTTCGGTTTCGACTGAGCTGCTTCATCTCATGCTATCACGCCGCGCCCGAACGCGCTGCTTGCGTTTTCGATTATCTGACTTATTACAAAAGTACAATACACTCATTCTGGAGCGATACAAAACTAAGACCGGGGCACTTTCCTTGGTTCCCGAAACACCGGATATTGTGCGTGCGTATGCAAACGTAGTAGGACGTGGCTTAGACACTTCAACCCACAAGTGCATCCTTGAGCTCAATTTCAATAATCCCGTCTAGTAACAGTGAACTACAACTGAAATTTGGTCACCTTGAGCCTTACACGTATTTTGTTTGCCGAACATCTGCTTCTTGTTACTTCATTGGGCCAAAAGCAAGCCGCATCCTCACAGGAGTATCAAAGTTGAGCCCAGCGTTTACGCATGAACGTTTAAGGAAACGTAATAAATTCGACCTCACTACTGCACAAAAGTTACTATGATGTCTTCCTCGTGTCATCATATATCTCCCACTCAAATTTTATGCTGATAGGAGATTAAGTTTTCGCAAACGCTGGGATCGGCTAGCTACGACGGAGGCCCTAACAAGCGTCCCCTACTCCTCGCTAAGCCCAAAATTTGTGTCTGAACGGTGTGTCTGAAATTATCTCGGCATACTCAGTCAGGAAGAAGACAAACACATAACAAATATTATGGTAATTAGCAACCGTCAAATGCGCTTTGAATAATTTCGTACCTTTGGCGCACCGCATAGGGGTTCACGCCCGTCCGGCGAACTTCCGGCGAACGGTGCGACATTCTTCTCAGAAGTGCTCGACTTTGGCTTTCTTAAAACGGTTTGTAGGTGCGAATGTGTCTATATGATTGCAGGATAACTTTATGCGCATACGCGATGTTGAATATTAGTATAATGCTAGCGGATGGGTGCTTCGCTTCGTGCAGTGCTGCGGGTCAGTACATATAAGAGAACAGAAGTGTGTTCAAATGAAGCTTTCAATGGCACCTCTGAGTTTTACCTCGCGTACTTAGGCGTATTAAGAAAAACAGTAATTGCAAAACGTTATATTTCGTCTATGAACGCACGAAACAAACAAACTTCCTGATCAACAACACTAACGTAATGGCGCGAGCTTGATGTATGCATACATATTGGTTCTGATAGATTGTTGATTCGTACACAAGCAAGATCCCCGAGCTTCGCAGCGTCGAGATTCCCAGCACTGGCTCGTCCACATACGTCGAAACGCTAACAGAAAGGCTCAAGTACAAAAATACAACAAGCATGTGTTAATACAAGCTATACGTCTCGGGCTCGTGCTAAAGCTTCGAAGTCTGGCCATTTGGGTTATTCTAGACACCACAAATGACGCTCTCGGGACCAGAAACACATGAGATAACGGACGTTAATAGTCCACGCTCTGTGTATAATTTCTTGTCGAGGTGTCGATCGAAACCGAAATCTACTCCTCTCGTGCTCTTCGCCTCCTCCCCTCTTCCTCCTCGTCCCTCCTCCTCCCCTCCACCTCAGCCCTCGTCCCCATCCTCCTCCTCCCTCCTCCCCCTTCCTCCTATTCCCCCTCCCCCTCCTCCTCCCTCCCGCACGGTGCATGATGGGAAACGTCCCATAATGCAATGCGCGCGTCACCGCAGCGCATTATGGAACGTTTCCCATAATGCACCATGCCTACGGCGACGCCGACGCCGCTCAAGCCGGAAACGGGCGCCTAAGAGCTGCGCTCTAAAACAAGGCCGTTTAAGCGGTGTTCTACAGGTTACTGCTCAAAAGTAACTAAATACGTTAAGCGTTCCTTTTCTAGAAAAATTACTAAATACGTTAATTGTTACCGAAAATAGTAACTAGGTAAAGTAACTCGTTACTTGTAACGCGTTACGTACTTGTCTAAGAGGAGGCTATGCCAGTGATGGTCCGCCTCAAGTACGCGCTCGTTGCACTCCGCAGGTCTTTGGCTGCCCGTGCGACAAAGTGCTATCAAAGAAAGAAAGCTCGTGCTCGATAGAAAGAGCGTTTTCTGGGTTCTTAAAGGTCCCTTTGAGTCCAAAATCGAAACGAAATAAATGACTGATATCCCTTTAGAAGCATCAAATGAGATTATAGCCAAATATTACGTCACAGAGAAACCGCCTGTTTATCTGCGCCTCTTTGTGACATAACATTTCGGCTGTGATCATATTTGGTGCTTCTAAAGCAATGCTAGTAATTTATTTCGGTTTGAAGTTAAAATTGCCAGCAGCTGCTCTTCAGCGGGCGGCCAACGGGGTAGCTGTTAGTTAAGCAACACTAGGCGACGACGTAGCGTCGGTGCTTTCGTTCTTTCCTTGTCTTCGTTGCGCATGTAAAGTTGCAATTGGAGCTACCTTCCGCGTTTCCGCCCGCGTTTGGTATCGTTGGTGACGCATATTGGTCACGTGTTCTGGCGGGAGGAGAAAATGGGATAGGAGGGGAGGGAAAATAGGGAGAAGGAAACACCCAAATCATCCGCGCGCGCGCCACCAGGGGAGGAATTGGCGTGGCCATCGCTCCGTCTAATGCAAATGAGCGGAGTGTCCTGTATTCCCCCTAGAAAGGATTTGTTGTCCTCCTGGAACAGTTGAGAAGGAGGGGAAGAGGTCTCGCTTCTCTCCTCGCTTCGGTTCACCAGCTCGACGGAACAAAGCGAGGAAGAGGGAATGAGAATCGTGACATCATGATTGTCCGGTCGGCCTCGTCGGCCATGTTCATTCACGCACTTCTTTTCCAAAAATACAGCAATCCGTTAGAGATATCGCTGTATGAGCGATGTTTTGGCGTTCTGCAGTAACCCATCTATCCGTCCAACCTTGATTTGTGAGCTCGAAACTCCGGTCCAGTATCCCTTTAAGTGCAACGAGTACTGAAAAGAAAACAATAAACCATGAAACAAAAGCAGCTGTGTATTTGGTCGTCAAAGTAACAAAAAAAAGTAACTACCGGTGAATACCGCGCATCCGCTCATTCTACATTAAGCGCCCACACCCGAATTTGTGAGATCTCAGGAAATATGCGCAGTACATTTATATGTAAAATTGATGACTGGACAAGCGCCCATCCCCTATTTTTTCGCATTATCTCTAAATTTTGAGTGGGCGCTTGCCCGGTATTTTAAGGTAGTTACTTTTGTAGTATAATGACGGGCGCATTTTGAGAGTAGGTAACGGGTGACGTATTTGGTTACTTGTTTAGTTGCCTTTTTTGTAAAGTGTACATGTCTGCCGAGGACTTACCATTCACCCTTGCATTTAGGCCCACTGTACTAAAAGTTACTCCTTTATATTTGGTCCCCATCCACTTAATTTCGAAGCCTTGCTGTTAATCCTCTTTGACTCAAAGTTGCGCCCCACAAATTGCGCAGAACTGAAGAAACAAGACTCGCGAAGGGTTCTGTATGCCTAGTGTACTCCAATCTCAAAAACAAAATGCTGCAATTCAAGTTAAACGTAGCTTTGTTGTCTCATTAGATGCCCTCCACATCCAAGGATGACTGAAGTCGACGTCCCTAATAGGTAGAATCCGCGCTAAGGCCGAATTCCGAAGATTCAGTTGCGTCGACGATAACTTGGACAATAGGACGTTTCCACAAACCGGTCGTGGTCCAAGCACAGTTTAAGGGGGCACCGCCAGCTTCTTGACTGTTCGCGAGAGATTTGAATTATTAGGAACACTGCCAGCGTTAAACACATGATCGCTCGACAAACGCATTAGACTTAGCACACTTATAACAAAATAACAAGCAAGCTATGTAAGTGCTGCAACGGCTCACACATAACATGCGATCTATTGCAAGCAGACCAGCGCAGTATTAGAGTTTAAAGGCCTGTTCACACATGCAGCGGAGCGCTAAGTTAGCGCTACGTAAGCGTTCCAAGGAGCGCTCATGTGGCGCTTCCTGGTGCGTGACTTAGTTCTAATATAGCGCGCGATTAGCGCTTATGTAGCGCTTTGTTAGCGCTTCTGTAGCGCTTTGTTAGCACTTCAGTAGCACCTTGTTAGCGCTTCTTGTACCGTGGTTACTGCTGCGGATTAGCGCGTGCACTGCGGTTCCGATTCCTGTGGTTGGGTGCATCAGCAGCACTATGGCGGACATGTGGGACGCTGAAATAGAAACGCCACAAATGCTCTTACATACGCAATTAGTACCGTGTGTGTAGACGGCTTAACGCCCAGAAGAGACTTCTGGGTGCGCCAAATCTTTCCCCACCGAGATACCGACGGGTACCCGGCGAACCTTGTTCCTAGGCTGAGGGACCGAGACACAGAGCTCTTTTGAAGGCGATTACTTTTAACTGTCTTTGAAACCAGGGTCACGCATATCGAATAGAAAGTGATGAGGTCTATACCCAATCAATTAGTCGCTATGAGTCGATGACTCCGGATCGCCTGCCGACCCTTTGCTTGGAGAGCGGCTCTTTTACTTTCTGTTCTTTCAATGCCAAAGGAAAAACAACAACAAAGGAATCGCCGTGCACGCCCTGTTCCGCAGCAGCAAGCACGGCACAAGGAGCGTGAGAGCGCTAACAAAGAGCTTCTGTAGCGCTAGCAGAGCACTACTGAAGCGCTAACCAAGCGCTACTTCACGCGCTAGGAAGCGCCACATGAGCGCTCCTTCGAGCGCTCACGTAGCGCTAACTTAGCGCTCCGCTGTATGTGTGAACCGGCCTTAACACTACGTCCCACCTTACGTCCGGACGCAGCGGACGCTACGAGGAACCTTAGCCAATCCCGTTCTGCACTTTTAGGAAAAAGGGTGTATTCTTACACCCTTTGTCCCATATAATACACCCCAAAACTTTAATTCGAGGAATAGCACACTATAGTCGAACAGACGGCCCCACATTTTACGAGGGGCTTGATAGCCGTGTGGTACAACTTATTAAAATAGCTAATGTATGTGTTACTAAATACAATAAAAATAATCGGCGTTTTCTTGGCTCTACTGCAAATCCTGTGTTTTCGTTATGTGGTCTTTGATACGTGTTTTAGCTATTTATTAAGTTATATCGCACCACTGCATAATCCCTCTGCTGCACAATTGCACGGCGTCTCGCTGTAAACGCACAGAATGATTGCGAACATTTGATCTCTCCAGCGAAGGAAACAATACTTTTTAAAGGGGCGGCCGACCGGCCACCAACTTTGTTAACACAGGAACGGCTTTACGAAGCTTGCCGACGCAGCCCCGCGTGGTTTACTCAACGCTTGCCTTATCCGCCAATCTCTCGCGCTCGTGTACCGGCCTGATTTGTATACACTTCTATACTTTGTCTCATCCTACGATAGACTAAAGGCCAAAGCCACGGTCCGCCAGGTCCTATCACGTTCCACGCTAAACTATGACATGCTTAGCATTGATTAGGGATGAACGAATGATGCTCCGAACCCTAACACGCTGCAGCATTTCTATAGTTTCGACACTGCAAAGAGCGTTGTGGCTTTTTTTGGCACTCTAAAATTGTTAAAGTCACTTACTGCTTTCCGATTCGAACCGCTGTCCGCCCATCCCCACCAGTGATCCCAAACGCGGGCACCGATACGTGCATCAAATTGGGGGTTGTGTGTACGTTTATACAGCCTAGAACTTGGTCTGCCTCAACGGGCGACGAGTCTCCTAGCTGTGTAGATGAGCAATTTTGCCAGTGCAGTACGACCGCTAGCCTGGGGTTTTTCTTTAACGTGCATCACGCTGTAGCGATACACGACCGCACGCCGGTACGATGTTCATCCAGATCGAAACGGGCAGGGGTGGGGATTGAGCCCAGGATCCCTGGGTTCTGCAGCGCGAGCTTCCGCTCCACGTGCTCCGAGCTGGTGTGCGCGCCGCTAGCCCACTCGGCCACCGATCCCCCGCATCGGAGCGGAATGGCGCACACTTTCTAAGTGGCTCGTGATTGGATCTGGCGGTTCGTAGCTTTTGCCTTTAGCCCATCGTAGGGTGAGACTAAATATAGTACGACGTACTCCCGCGGCACAGCGCTGTTCTTACAGAGACAATGATGACACGAACTTCCGTCGATGTTTCAGGGGCATCCGTTAAGTGAAATTTGTAAATCATTTAATTCCTTTTAAAATATCCTTTCCGCGTTTTCCAACGAACGACTGGTGTTTATGAGGTTTTTTTAACTTGATGATCAATAGGCCACATTAAGGCAACGAAAGAGGCGCTAAGATTTTGTTTCCGTACCCATTTACAACCAATTTGACAGACAATTTCATAATCAAGAAAGAACGTTCCGAAACCTCCAAACCAGTCTTCCTGTAGTCATAGTCAGCTCGAGAAGGGCAGTGCGTTGCGACTGCCCAGCATCTTATTATTGTTCTCAGCCAATAAGATTGAGGCATTAGCCAGTGAGAACGCCGGAGAAGTAATCCCCAAGCAAGAGGCGGGAAGAACATTAGCCACGCCTTGCGTTTTTTTCTTAGGCTGTCAGAAATTGTAGGCTAATTTGAATTTCTGATCATCATAAAATGAGACAAAATGAACACTACCACTTGTTCGAGCCCATTGTGTTGCTTTAGCTGAACTTTATTTTCTGCTCCCTAGGTCAGACAATAGTATCAGCTAATGTTTACACGGAGCTAATGTTCCCGTGTCGGAAAGAGCATTCCTTCAGAGCACCTTCTTCTCATATTTTCATAAGGTTTAACTCTTTCAGCCAAACCACCCGCACCGCCGAGTGAGCCTGGAGAGCCAGTTCCGTCAGAAAAACCGCCCACTGGCCCCGAACCGCCAGAAGTTCCGGACGAGACCTCGCCAACACCGCCTCCACCTGGACCTCCACCTCCACCTGGACCTCTGCCTCCACCTGGACCTGCGCCTCAACCAGAACCTCCGGCGACAACTACAACTACAGAGACTCCACTTCCCGATTACTGCTAAAAATGAGTCTCACTATAGCCCGGTGCATCTCAATGGCACGAGTTTTGGTTGTACGGGGTTCGTATGCCAGTGATGTGCTTGTAATTTTCTTTTTTTAATAAATACGTTTCTACAGCAAGCTCGTACTTCATGTGTTTTTTTCTGATATCCGGGTTGAAATGTTAGTGACCTATTTTTAATCATTGAGTAACTCGAACGTGCCAGTGCAGATACATTATTTTTTTTTTCTATTTACCGACTATACTTTTTTTCAGCTCAAAAACCGTAGTAAGAAAAGTCCGGCTCCTCGGGTAGCATGACTAATTTCCCCCTTTACGATACGATACGATACGATACGAACTTTATTTTTCACCACAAATACAAGTGGTGAATGGGAGGCCGAAGAAAAAGCTGCATAAATGCAGCTTGACGAGGCTCCGGGCCCCCCATTCAGCAGCTACGACGGAGTACATACAGTACACTGGTCAAAAAAGAAAAAAATCAAATGAACAAATTGAATATTTGGCTGTTGGACAATTGCACATTATCTATGTTTTTAACAAAATATTCGTTCAGAATAGACGGTAAGGCATAACTTATTTTTTGTTTTCCATAGTTTGTTCTACATTTCGGAATTTGCCAGGGCTGGTGATTTCTCGATGAATAATAATCACTTTTTTCTTTTAAATCAGACAGTTGAAGAATTACATTTGAGCGTCCTAATGCCGCATATTTATACGCCATCGTTAAACGATAGTTATAGATTTGGTGAATATTAATAATCTTGTACGACTTGAACAGTGAATCCGTATGATGTATGTAGGGAACGTTACCTATTATTCTTAGCACTTTTTTTTTGCAATAAGTGTATTATATGCAAGTTAGAGTAAGACGTGTTACCCCAGATGAGGGTGCAGTAACATAAATGAGAATAAAATAAGGAATTGTACAAAACCTTTTTTACGCTCGATGGAAGAACGTGCCTATGCTTGTTCATAATTCCTGCGACTTTGCCTAATTTAGAGCAGAGATGTTTTACGTGATTTGTCCAGAGCATGTCTTCGGAAAAAATGACTCCGAGAGTTTTTATGCTATTCACAAATTCAATGTATGAAGACCCGAAATGAAGAGGAGTGTAAACTCGGTTACCTGAGCCGCGTGGGCGAAACATCGTTGCTTTTGTTTTCGAAGTATTTATAGCCAAGCAATTGGACTGAGACCATACTTTTAACTTTGAAAGAAATGCGTTAGCTTTATTTATGAGGGCCTCTTCGGATATATCAGAAAAAAAAATACTCGTGTCATCCGCATAGATTATATATTTACAGTTTGAATCAATGTTCACAATATCATTAATATACAACAAAAAAAGAAGTGGTCCTAAAATACTTCCTTGGGGCACTCCAGCTGATATAGTTAATGGAATTGATTTCTCATTATTAATTTGCACAAACTGGGTACGATATTCTAAATAAGATTTGATTAGAGCATGAGGAAGATCACGAATGCCGTAAGCATATAGTTTATCTAACAAAATGGAATGATTTATACAGTCAAATGCTTTGCTGAAGTCTAAAAATATCCCAAGCGTTAAGGTTTTTTCTTCAAAATTCTTAAGTATTTCTTCTTTTTGAACCAATAACGCTGTTTCGGTTGACCTATTCTTTCTAAATCCAAATTGACAATCAGTAATTATAGAGTGCTTATCACAAAAGTTAACAACACGAGAGTGAATTATTTTTTCTAGACTTTTTGAGAACACAGGAAGTATAGATATAGATATACATAGATATAGTAGTTTGCGTCGCTCTCTTCTTTTTCTCACTTTATTTTTTCAAATGGGACACCAACTAGCCCGAGCACTTACCATCCCGACTTTGTTCAACTTTCAGTGATGATGAAGACGGGAGTTTGGGCGGAGAGGAGGAAGGGAGGTGAGCGGCGGTGCGGCATCTGTGTTTGCTCTAGTGGTGCAAAACTATCAATAGTATTGATAGTCAATTTATTGATAGTTTTGAATCAGTAGTACATGTTACAAACAAATAACATCTGTCTACACAAATCCATGAAGGGGTACCTGGCATTTGACTGAGCCAAGCTTGCTGGAGGTCAATTCTCTTGCACGATTTAATTTTATTTCACAAATTACATACTAGAAGACAAGACTTCGATTGGTGGGTTTGTCTCTTATCGCACATAACACAGTTGCGAGCCCGCTGAAACCAAAAACCAACCAAACTAAAGCCATTCTATGGCACCATGTGTGTCAATGCCCCGTGTCCACCAGTCAGGTAACTGCCGAGATGAAAAGGTCTATAGGAATACCGAGTTCGTGTAAAAGATAGCACACCACGTCCAGTTGAGTTTAGCTCTTCCTCACTCGCCGGGCAAGCACGCCGGCAAGCTTGCGCAAAGTTAGCACAAGAGAAACAAGTAATACACACTAGCGTACATAACTTCAAACACAAAGAAAACTTCGTAGCCCTTATTGCCGGTAGCATTTCTTTCCAAGTGTAAACGGGCGGAGACCGATGCCATGATCTTCTGAAAAACTTCAGACATAGCGTGCCTAGCAGTTAAAGTGGCGAGAAAAATTAAAAACTGAGGAGACTCATTTCCTTTCCACCAAAATTTTGTATCTTAACCTTTCAGTAATCACCCGACATATTTCAGAGTAATCTGAACCTTGGATTAACCACACTCTTTGTACAGTGGAATCTCATTAGTTCAAGCCCTCTTAATTCAAACTCGCAAATAATTCAAGCTAACATGCAGGTCCCATCCTATATGTTTCTCGAAAGGAAACTTCCGGTAATTTAAACTCGTGCAATGTTTTGGTCCCCCTCGGGTTCAAACTAACAAGATTCGACTGTAAGATGTGGTCGGCAGGCGATGCGCACTGTCTTAAGAAATACCAACAATTTATACGACAGAAAGACCTGAGGGGATGGGGGACAAGACTTGATCCAGGCACTGGGCCTAAAGAGAAGTTCCATCTTGCGAGGCTTGATCTATGATTCAGGGCATTTTCAACCCACGGTGTATGTAGAGAATGAAACTGCCTACCAGGTGAACAGAAACAGTATGTTATCCGAACATGTAGGGCAACGCAGAGCCGTATATGTAGAGAGTTTGGTCAATGGGAGGCGCTGGCAGAGTCAGGGCGTGCGGCAGAGTCGGAAAGAGGGTTTGGCATGCTCTATTGACCAACCAGAAGCCGAAAAGAATCCCCTAGCGGTGGTAGCGGCAAACAGTTCTGATCAAAAGTCTATGTTCGTATATGGTTTTAATAAGCGCGTAAGAGTGAAATGTAGTAACTCTACGAGGTTGAAAATAGGGTGCACGTGTTGTTTTGATCATGATCATGCAGAAAGATGTAAGAAACGAATGCGCCGCGCAACTCTGTTTTGCGCGGACAGAGTGTGACCGTTCGGACGGCAGATTCCCGGCCCTGGGTGCTTGGCGTAAGGATTATGTCGATCGTTCCGCTAGTTGCACTCTTCCACCATCATTTTGGATTAACGTGATTGAAACATCACATATACCATATTTTCAGCCATTGAGAGTTACTCCAATGCAGTTATCAGGTTTGTTTCTCGCGACCACCGCCAGTGTATTATTTCCGGCTTCTGGTTGGTCACATTCAAATTTCTGAAGACGCCCTGGAACACGCCCAGTCTGCTTTCGGCCAATGGCGCCTCCTCATTTGTCTCCTATACTTTCCAACGAACGGCCAAACTCTTTACATTTACGCCTCTGGGGCAACGCACAGTAGTCGAGTATACAGTAAACTCTCACTTGAGCGAACGTCAGTTTAAAAAATATTTCGGCACACGGGAAATACCGCACACGTCGACACACGGGAAATACCGCAAAAAAATAAAGCGGACACTGTCACGACTTTGCAAGGTAAAACCGGAGAGGCCAAGAGCGGAAGAATAGACCCCTTGCAAAACGTACAGCGCCACGACGGCAGGGAATTTCGGGAACCCTCGGTACAGATCACGCGCTTTCTCGTTGCACCTTTGCGACTGCCCACGTGTCCTGGCAGCTACCGCCAGCAGCCGTTGCAGCCATCCCGCCCATCCGCCAAGTCGTGTGTCATTGGCGGTGTACTGTATTTGTAACAGCATAAAGGCATCGTGACGGGTGAGCTTATTTGAATACATTATTCGTCGTAATTGAAGTGTCACCGAATCCACTTATTTTGCACCGCAAGCAAGCAAGCAAAACTTTACTTTGTGTAAGGGCCTACGTCCTGGTCCGGACGGTCTGTCCGGCGCACGTCTTGCGGATGGATTCCGCAAGGGGACTGGAGTGATTAATTAGTGCTTGTAGTGCGGTGGGTATGTCGGTGCCCATGGGTAGAGCCAGCCATTCCTCCCAAGAAATGATGTGTGAGAGGGTTGGGGGAAGGGTGGGTGGGTTACGAGTCCAGTAGGTATGAGGGATGAAAGGGTATCCTCCGCATTTTGGGCAGGTGGGGGAGTCGGGTCGTTTGTAGATGTGGTGGAAGATGTAGTGCGATGGAAGAGAGTTGGTCTGGGCTTGCCTGACGAGGGAGTATTGTTGCCTAGACATGGTCTTTGGAGGGTGAGGGTAAATGGTACGCTCTTCACATTGTTCTTTTAACCTCGACTTCCGCAGGGCCATGACGAGACGGGACCCGGGGAGTTTTTGAGGGTGAGACGATGGGCTGTCTCATTACCCTCCACGTCTTGGTGGCCAGGCGTCCATACGAGGCGGAACTTTTTGTCCGGGTAGCGGACATGTATTTCCCAGACTAGGTTATCCGTTTTAAGTGTAAGGTGTTGTCGGTGTAGTTTCGTATTCTTCCAAATCGTCGATCGTTGGGGGTTCTGTGAAGGTTTCGGAGTAATGTGTATTAGTGCATGTGTTAAGGGGCAACTCCGCTTCATTTTCGATATTTAGAAAACTATGTAGCCCTCTTCAGTATCATATAGGAAGACCCCATGTCAAATATTACGATCTAATTCAGTCTATATATTTATTAAACTGGC